ACTACAACACTCAATTAAATTAAATTAAATTATACACAGTTAAAAACATCTTAATCTTGTATGATTGAAAATATTACAATTGCTGTAGTGTTGTGGAGCTCATCAGCATGAAGCAAATGCAAATAGTAAGAACTCATGAGATTGAATAACTGACTGTTTAACAGATGCTGCAAACTTTGCAGATGGTGCAGATGAAGCTAGAAGACTTTGAACTTCTTCACTAGTTAAACCTTCTACTTTTTGTTGAATTTGATGTCTAGATCTCTTGCATTTTTACTTCTCTATCTCATTCATATTGAATATATTCTAATATTGCTTCTTTATAAATAGTGACACTGACTATTCTTATATTCACAAATCTTGATAATTTGATCAAAGCTTTTGCTCTGCTGTAGCACTCACTACTAGTAATAACCTTAGTAGTGACACAAACTTCCATAGCAAATTCAATCTTATCAAAGTTGTATATATCTTCTGACAGAATTCCATGCTCAGCAATTGTATTCCTCAAGGTCTTAAATCAATCACATATAATCCACTGATCTTCATGCTTGGTCTGTTCATGATTATAGCACCTGGGATAGCAGCTTTGAAGCACTGGACAGTGTGCCTCTAGATTTGACACCCAGTTGTTGCCAATGCAGAGAGATGGGGTGGTGGAAGTGATTGAATCCTGTATAGTAAGAAGATAATTAGCTATATCCTCAACCAATGCTGACTATGGAGGGAATCCTTGTTTAGCCTGGTCCAGCACTCATTCAACTATCTTATCTTCTTCAGCAGAAGATAATTTGTGTGAATTTGCATGTAAATTCATCCTTGATTGCCAGTCATTCAGTCAATAGGTTAAAGTAGAATAAGAGACATTAAATAAGCAAGCAGCTTCATGAATTGAAGCAATTTCTTGATTTTTAAAGACATTTAACACAAGTTCAAGTCTTCCCTCTCTTTCTAGAGAATCTGAAGCAGTTTTATTGCGAATTGGTGGCATAATTACGCATTGAAGTTGAAGAGTAGTTAAATTAAAAGATATTTTGAATTGGTGTTGCGCTCGCTTGGGTGTTGCGCTCGCTTGGGAAATACGTTAGTTGCTGAGAACAGCTGATAACTAACACGTATGAAAACAGAAAGGAATCATTAACGAAGGAAAAGAAAAGACAGATCAGCAGGCTTCGGGTAGTAAGGGGTTTTATCCTAGGATGATTGAGGCATTGCCTCGGTGGTAGAGGCGCCGCCTCGGTAGCGTACAGATAAGGTGTTACCTTTGATAGCGGCCACTCCGATAGCGCACTGCATAGATCGTACGAAGGCCTCGGTGGTGGAGGGCGCTGCCTTGATAGCGTGCTTTCGATCGTACGACGGCAGAGCTTGAGTAGCATGAGGTA